TCATGATGTAGGTTTTGTGTTAGGTGGACCCCCCACCCAGTAATAGTGACTATAGTGGATAATAGGGATTATATTCGTGTCCTTTTATATTCCTACTATACCACTATTACAAGGTGGAGGTCCTCCTAAGTTCTATATGCTGTGCTACATGCTTCAGGGCCTGTTTTGGTTTGGCGCGCAATTCCTCCCTGCCCATTTTTCTTACAGATATTTCAGCATCAGGGGTGAGCGCGGTGCTTTTTGCTCACATTATTTTTGCCTGTACTTTTGTTGGTACGTAAATGTCTCTGGCTCCAGAATCTTAAGGAGCAGCTGGAGAAATTTCACCAGGGCCTCAAACAACGGAGTAAAAAGTCCAGGACACTCAATTTGAGGTACTGTACGGCTCTGCGCTGCAGAAGCTGTGCCACTGAACCATTTTTGTGGATCAAAAAATGAACCTTTGCCCTTAACCAAGCCTTCAGGCCACAATCCTCAAGCCCGACAATGCTGAGACCCTCAGGCCCATGCATGAACATCAAGGCTCCCCCACATGGCCCAAAGGCCCCAAAAAGCTCCAGGTGTACCTACCCGGCCTCATTGGCCAAACCCCACGGTAAATCCTCAATTGCCCGAAAGCCCGGATCCGGATATTACGGGCAGCTGCATTTTATGAATTGCTTTTTGCCCAAGAGAGCAGAAGGCCATTATTCTTGCAATGGTGTGCGCGGATTGAGGTGCGTGGCTTATACAAATAAAATGCCCAGATAACCACTCTAGCATGAAGAAGAAGATCCTGCGGTTTCTCGACATCAGTGAGAGATCAAGCGTAATAAGACTCCAGTTAGGATTCTCATGTCCGCTAGTATACTGTATGCCTCAAACCCTATTTTGAAAACTTATCCTGCATCGTGAGTGTGCTTTCTTCCAAAAGACAGTGCGTTCTTCCAAAGGCAGACCTCTGGGAGGATCTAGAAAGTAGAACCCGCAAACAGGTACTGATACAATTATTGGAACCCTAAACCTTAAATCCCAGAGCTACTTTTGAGATCCTCTCAGAAATCTGGGAACGCAGGTGCGCGAGCTATTCGAGGCTGCTCGGCAGGGGGCCGCGTCGGAAGTAGAGAAGATCTTACAGAGGCCCCAGGACCGTCGGCTCATGGGGGCTTGAGCCAGACTAGAAGTCACGAGGTATTAGGGTTTAGGGTATTCCTCAACTTTGCGGCTTCTTTCTGAGGTCCTTTGTCCAAGAACTCCAACCATATATATATACATTTATTTATTTATGTATATACATATACACGCACACGCATAATTATACATATATGGTATCCCCCCCAGCGGTACCTGCAAGACCCCCTGCTCAGGTACCGACCTCAACATAAGCAGCACTACCTACATACATATAAATATATACACACAGAACTGCATATGCACTTGTGTATAGATTGTATTGGAAGTTCTAGAACGGGACCTAAATGCTCACGCTGATAAATTCATTTGGAGCGCGAAGGGCCAGCTGAGAGGACGTTCAACCCTAAACCCTTATAGTCCCCCTTAAGCAAATAGAATATGGGGTATATCATAATATACCCAACGCTATATTCTATCTACTTAAGGGGGGACTATAAATCTCTGAAGCCTACCCCGCCTGAACCCGAAGCTCCTAAACCCAAAGCCCTAAACTCCCAACCCTTGACCCTATTCTCCTAAACCCCGAAGCCCCTAAACCCCAAACTCCTAAACCCTAAGCCCTAAACTCCTAAACCCTGAAGCCTTTTCCAAAAAAAATCCGAGAGGACCCAGACCTCGCGAGCCCGAACTCCATGCCACTGGCCACCGCGGCGAATTGGGACATGACAGGCAGAGCGCCAATACTGCGGTTTGGGGTCTAGGGGTTTAGGGTTTAAGGATCAGCTTTTGTTTTAAAATGTTCTTTTCACATTACGCATACATACAAGGAATATTCAGTGGCGTTCCGTGTAACCAAAAATTTGCTGCTGAAGAAACATACCTTTCAACCCGCACGGCTGCGCGTTCAACAGTTACAAAAGTCAAGGTTTGTCCCTCTAGTCTAAACTCCTAGCATCCCCCTTAATATCCCCTGTAGTAGTCCCTTGGATAATCTCCTTTAAGGAGTTTGGACTAAAGCTCACTTGGGGGGTGTGGAGCTCCCTGGAAGGTCAGAACACCGACACGCCGCTGGCTGTCGCAGCGAGCGGGGGCCATTTAGAGTCTTGGCAGCGCTGGGGAGGAGATTTAGGGTTTAGGGTATGGTGTTACGGTTTAGGGTACTATAGTATATTGGGGTTATATAGGGAACATGGAAAAGAACATGGGCACTACTACGATGGGGTTATATGGGGTTAAGTTGCTTCATGTGCCCAGGGAATGGTAGCAGGGTTTTCCCGACGGAGGATTCACCTTTGGCAATTTTGTGAAGCTTGCAAATTTAGGGTTCGATAGGGTTTGCCGCACGGCTGTCGTTGCACAAGAATCCACACAGGGTCTACCATCCCTATCCCATCTACAGATATATCCTTGGGGTCCATCATGACGGCAATGATAGTTGGGGCGCGCTCTGCGCTCTTTCTGACAGAGCAAAGCCCCAGAATACGACCTCACAGTGCGTTGAACTGGAGAAAACCTACATGAACAAGCTTTGAATGGAAGCCTCAGCCTTTTACACACGTTATGGCACCAAACCTCATAAAACCCTAAACCCCATCGTAACCCTCCTACAGCTCTTAACGAAGACTTGGGGTGTTGTCCAAGCTGCTCGTACGGAACCCTTGCCCGGGACGCCCTTTTGACGCTTTGATTGGTAATTCCCTCAGGTTTGGGGTTCAGGGATTTAGGGTTGGGGGGTTCAGGGTTCAGGGTTTAGGCGTTTGGGTTTAGGGTTTAGGGGTTTAGGGTTTAGGGCCCTCAAAACCTAATTAGATTAATCCCTAATGCCTTTTCCTTTCTTGAAAAGCAGTGATCCTAGGAGGCTGTTTGCCTCCTGTTGGAGGCCGGGGCGGACAAGGACCTCGTCTCCTGGTTACGTTTAAAGGCAGCCCAAGGTTAAACTTCCAAGGATTGGGATTTAGGGTTTAGGGTTTAGGGTCTAGGGTTTAGGGATCAGGGATTTAGGGTTTAGGGTTTTGAGTGTAAGTTTAGGGTTGAGAGTTGGGGTTTGAAGGGCTCAAGGCTGCAAGACTTTGTCTCTAATAATTAGGTGTAGAGGGTCTAGGGTTCAGGTTCATGTTTTGAATTCGGGTTTAAGGTTCAGAGTGGCCGTGGGCTCCCCTTAGAACTATGTTGTCGCAGGAGATGCCAACATATACCCTGGTATAGCATTATAGTTTCCATTTTCTTTTCACTATCCCTTAGGGCTTAGGATTTAGGGTACATATACATATATATATATCCTACTAGAAGATGGTAGCCTCCGTAAGTGCGAATGTTGTGGCAGGCCTGGGCGCCGCCCGGGGTCATGCACAGCAGTGCGTGAAGGTTGAACAAGTCCAATGACAGCATTGCATCATTGTTGGTTCTTGACCTTCCACCCTGAATCCTTAACCCATTGCACCCCTCAACCCTAATACAACGTAAGGCAAGCGGCCTAGACAAGTTCACACCCCTCTACATCGCGTGTGACAAAGGCTGCCTGGCAAATTTGTGCACCCGAGAGGGACTAGGAAGCAGCTTTGGGGGTCTCTTCGAAGGATGATGTAGGATATGTGTTAAGAAGCCTTCTATGTGTGTATATATATATATACACACGGGATTAGGTGTTTTGTTTGTACGAGAAGGCCAACATGTCTTCTAGGACTCGAAGCACGCAAGGGAATGAACCCTGAACCCCGTAATTATGAAAGGGCTTGAGCAGGAAACTTCATACGTCATCGGTCATGGTTTCAAAGGTCTCTTCCAGGGTTCCAGGATTTAAGCCCTAAACCCTAAACCCTAATTAGTCAGCTTTAGGCGCTTAACGGAGGCCACCTGCAGATCGTGGAGTTGCTGCTGGAAGGCATCCGAGATCCAGCAAGGCTTACGATACTTCTTCACCTGTCATCTACCAGGCCTCTGAGTCGCGGGTTTAGGGTTCAGGGATTTAGGGTTTAGGGGTTTCAGGGTTTAGGGCGGGTTTAGGGTTTAGGGGTTTAGGCTCTAAGGGTTTAGGGTTTAGGGCTTTTCATCTTTCCAGGGGCTCTTGAGCGGAGTGCCGCCGAGATGAGGATGTTGGAGTAGGGTAGCTGGACATACCCGTTGGTGCGTCGATGTTCTTGGGGCACGAGGATGCTCGGGCCTCACTAACTGGCTAGAGATGAGCAGTGCAAAAAGCAAGATTTGGTTTTGGTGTGTTTTATGAACAGCGCCGCATTCTCCCCCGAGGGTAAACACTCAGCCCTCAACCCTAAACCCCAAAATCTAACCCTATACCCCAAATCCAAACCCTAAATCCTAAACCCTAGATCCTAAACCCTAAGCCCCAAATCTAAACCCTAAACCCTAAATCCTAGGTCCTTACAGGCCCTAAACTGTATACCGATGCCCTATGCTTTGAGACCAGCCTGGGCCGCTCCAAGGGGGATGTATTTGGTTTAGGGTTAAGGGTTTAGGGTTTAGATTTTCGGGTTTAGGGTTTAGGATGATCCATCCACCCATTTCAAGTGATCACAAGGAATAATGACATGCTGGGGTCCTACAACCCTAAACCCTAAACCCTACCTGGGAGCTTCTGGGGACTCCTTGGTGTACCTCTACGGCTTCTGCATGTTATAGGCCTGCTCCTAGGTACACCGCAAAAATCGACCCCTCATTTTTGGAACACCACATGTCTAGGATCCACAGTGAGTTGGTGGGGATGTCACCCGTTTTGCTGTTTATTGAGTTTACCTACCTAACCCTCATCCCTAAACCCTAATCTCTAAACCCTAAATCCCTAAACCCAAAACCTCGAGACATGGGGATCCAAGGAGTCCCTAGTTTACCGGTAGGGGTGGTTTGTTGTGTAAAGTCTCCGCACGCCAGAGGGGATTCGTTGACATTGCGCGCCTGCTGTTGCGTGCTGGTGCACACCAAGATGGAGATGGCACGGGCGCCCTGGCTCAGGTTCTATCAGCTTGTTCCTGCCCGACTTTTGTGAAGCCTAGTTTACCTCTAACTGCCCTGATGTTCGCAAAGTCCACAACCATCACGTCGTAGTAGTGATCATTCCTAGTGAAGCTTGCCGTCAGAGTAGTTTTATGTATTCTCGGCATTCTGGGACCCGTTTTAGTGTCCTCACAGTAGGGACGTGGGGACTGGCTTCGAAGAAAGGAGGATGCTTCAGTACAGTGAAAAGCCTGTTGGGAGGGAGCGTGGATGCTTGTGTCTTCAGGAAGCCCCAGAGTAGCATCAACCGGGTTTCACTTCAGATTGTGCTGGGACGTGAGCAGTCAGGTAGGCGCGAACCTCCACTGGTAAAGGCATGCAGATATGGTCGCCTGGAGGTTGTGCACCTCCTCTTGGAAGCCGGTGCTGACAGAAACAAAGTCGGTAACAGCACGCCGCTTGCCGCAGCATGCGAAGCAGGCAAAGTGGATATAGTTTCCACATTAGTAGCAGACGGCTTGGACACGGAAAGGTTTGGACCTCTGGCAAATGCCTGCACGCATGGCAAGGAGGAGATTGTGAGAGTATTGCTTCATGCCAGGGCCAACCCAGACGGAGCTTATGGCCTTTCAACCAGCATGGTTCCTCTGGCAGAGGCCTCTCGTAAAGGGAGTGTAGAGGCTGCGCGCCTGCTACTGGAGGGCAGGGCGGACACAGAGCGGAGAACAAGCAACGATCGCCAGACTGCACTGGGGATTGCCGCGCGCGAAGGCAAGGCAGAGATCGTACAGCTGCTGTTTCCAGACTCTCCGCAGAAACTGTTTTGTTTCATTGTACCATGACAGAATCAGAATCCCACGACGTGGACGTGTCTTAGAGATGTTCGTGTCCCTAAGGCACTATTCCACCCGTCCATCATTTGGGAACATGTGGGTTGCCAAAATGAGGGAGCCATTTTTGGAGGGTACCCCGAGATCAGAGAGCACTACGCTCTATAGTCGCATAACACAGGACCCCTTCTCAATCCCAAACCCGATACCCCCTAAAAGAAATGCAAACTCGAAACCCAGTCTAAGCCTAAACCCTTAACCCCAAAACCATAAGCCACAAAACCTGAAACCTTATAGTCCCCTTTAAGTAGATAGAATATGGCTCTGGGTATAAGTATATTGTAAATAAGATCCCCACATATCCCGTGTTCTATCTACTTATGGGGCCCAGAAACCTTAAACCCTTTCCTGGGGCACTGTAGGTTGAATGCCGGCGCCCGTAGCGATGATACCTGCACACGAGGCGGCGACACCCCTCTAGGCCAGGCATCCGGCAGCTCACCAGTTGTTAGTAGGGAAATGGACGAATGCGTCCCTATAAAGGGTTTCAGGCTTGTACTAGGGTTGTACCCCTGGGTTTGGGGATCCTTTTAAGGCACCCTACGGGACTACATTGGCCTAGATAAGGGTTATATTAAGGCCATATTGGGGAAACCCCTTGGCCCCACCAAAATAGTAGCCCCCATGTAATCCCAAATGCTATATGAGTTTTTATTCTTCCAGTTATGCATGCCCAACTAATGACCAGTAAGGCAGAGGTCACGCCGAGGTGGTTCGGATTCTTTTGGAGCATGGGGCGGATAGTGACAAAGCCAGTGGTGGGCAGACTCCGTTGACTTTGGCAGCCACGGTTCTGGGGCTGATTTGGCATGTGTGGTCTGCAAGCTTTGGCCCTTAGGGTTGGTTTAAGGAGGAGTCCTGATGTACCCAGAAATGCTCATGAAATACAGAGGCTCGAACTGTTTTCAGGATTCCTACTTAGTCAGGGCCCTCCTGTAACCACTTTGTAGTACCTAAGAGGCCTCAGTTTTGAGCAGCCCCCATCTCTGCTACAGGCAGGACATGCGGAGATCGTGGGGATGATTCTGGCTGCTCGCGCAGACCCGGGCAAGTTGGGCATGGAGGAAAGCCCTACAGCCCTTCTGGCGGCGTGTACATACAATCAGGAGAATACTCAGGGCTTCGATAAGTGCAGAAATCAGATCTACGATTGGGTTGCTGTGAAGGCGTTTGAATTAAGTCACCAGAACATGGGCGTATAGAAAAATAAGGTCTTGTTATTGTGGATCAAGTTCCTTAGCAGCAAAAGTATTCTGATGTGAGGGTTTATGTAGACACCAATCAGAATTAGGCTTCGGGTCAGAATAGATCTGCTCCGTGGATCCAGTTTGTCGATCCTCCCTACCGTTGGGGCAGTCGAATTTGGCAGTCATATCCCGTCAAAATCGCAGCCTATACACCATAGTAAGATGGCCACGCGGGGGCGTTCAGCCCTTTTTAGATGCCTGAAGGGAACTTGTGTGGACCTTGAAGGGAACCCATATTGTCTGCTTTTAACCCCATTTCCCACCCCGGCGGATGCTAACCTTGGAGCCCAAAACCTTTATAAACCTCCTGAAGTCCGAAGGGGTTGAAAAAACAAGTCAGGAGGACATAGTCAACCTGCTCCTGAGTGCCCGCGCTGACCAGGATCAGGTGGGCCCCATCTTTAAAATCCTTACCTTTGGTTAGCTAGGAATGAAGGAATGGATCCTTATAGTAGTCCCTGTATAGCCCACGATTAGTAGTTTCCATTTTCTTTTTCATTCCTTCATTCCCCGCTAACCAAAGGTAAGAATCGAGCCGCAGTCATGCACTCCACCAGACTCCTCTTTTCTTAGGAATTGTTCTCAATTGTTGTTACAGTGATTATTGAAAACAATGTTTCATTTTGATAGGTCTGGGGGGAATACAGCAAGGAGCACTCTCCCTATATGTCCGCTTGGACTATAGAGATGCGGTATTGAATGGGATGCGAGTTTTTGAGAGCCCTACGGCCCTAAGCCTTACGAAGCACAAGCCAACCCCCTCAGGTGGGCAAGGACCGCGTGGGAAGATGTGAAACTCCACTTTGCATGGCTGCTGGCAAAGGAAATGTGGCAATCCTGCGCCTGCTTCTAGATGCATCAGCTGACACAGAAGCTAGGCTGTGCTCAGCAATCATGTGGAGGGGCCTCATTGCAAGTTTTTAGCTACTCACAACCCGGGCCTACTTACATAAGCAAAAGGACTTGTATCCATGGTTCGGTGTTTCCAAACGCTCAACATGAACTTCTGGGTGGTTTAACTGGTTTCGCCTTGCGTGAAATTGAGCTCAGGAAAAGGTAGGAAGACCTGAGGGTGGCACGCCGCTGGGTACCTGGGGCATAGCACAAGTTTATTGCTTTTTGTTTTACCAGTTTTTGCCGCTAGGGTGCAACCCTGAGGGTCCAAGTGCCTGATAATCATATACTTCCAACAAATATTGGGTACTTGGACCTTTAGGATAACTAGAGTTCAGGATATTACTGAGCGAGCTGAGGGTTCTTCTGAACTTCGGTCCTTGGGGGTCACAGTAAGCGACAGGTACATGCCAAATCCCCCAATGGTTGCACGGGTTAGAGTCCCCCGTACTCTTACCCAGGGAAAGAGGAAGCCATTTTGGGACATCTACTCATTGCATGCCAGCAGGATTTGACAAGAACGGAAAGAAATCTCACCGAGCAGATCAAGACCAATCTCCTCTGCTAGGCAACACATCAAGAGACTGAAGCCGAATGAAGGTGGAAATGGCCAATTTGATTTTTTGAAATCTCTGCAACGCAGTGCAGAATCTTTTCTTCGCACCAGGGGCACCTGGAATGCGCAAACGAATCTCATCAGCAGTCAGTGCTTGCCACGTTGTTAGTGGCATCTGAGCAATGCACTTAATATGATTTAATCCTGCAGCAGGGTCCGATCTGAAGCGAAGAACAAGGTCAATCCACGGGGGAGGCAACCTTTTGTGCGCAAACACAGGGATCATCCAAGAGCCATCGCCACGGTTTTGGAGTATAGTTTATTATGATCACATAGGGATTTAAGGGGATCATGTTGGTAATGATCTAGGCTTCTACGGTACCCGGTTTCACTCCCAAGTGTTAGTGCCTTAGAGCCAAAGCAGAGCTTTCTAGACCCGAATGACCCAAAACCTAAGCCCCAAATCATCAGGCCCTGACCTTCCATCCACCGATCAGGTAAGGCCTGCGGCATGGGAAGGCTCGAATCTGTACGCCTGCTTCTGGAGGCTCGCGCCGACACTTGCAAGGCAGGAAAGCAAATAGTACGCGTGCTACAAATATGCTGGGTCCGTTTCTGGCGGGCTGTATCATGGAGACTATGTTCTGTTCCGGAGGAAAGCAAGGGGGACCATAAATCTTGGAAGTTACTACTTGGGGCCGCAGGCTACCTGGCTGAATTGTCTTCATCAACATCAGGATCCTGATTGTTGTTGTTATTGGACATATCTTCATTGTTGTGCAGTAGGCCCAGGTTTGCATCATAAGAGTTGTAGAGTCATGTGTTTGACATGCCAATGCTTGTTGGCATCAGGAGGTGCTTTCGCGCTGCCGGGATGTTTGTGACGACTCGCGTGAGTACCTTTCGTAGTGCTGTTGACACAAGATTCCAAATTAGGCGGCGGCTAGGGGTGCAGACGCGCGTTGTGACGGTTTAGGGCTTGGGTGCAGGGTTTCGGGTTCGGGGTACGTTGAGAGCTTCACATCTGCTTTGATGAGATAAATGGCAAGCACTCCCCCACTCTCACCGATGAATCTGGGACATGTAGGGTCCCCACTTTGGAAACTCTAGGGTTTGGGGTTCTTAGGTTGTTTCGGAAAGTCTTAAAGTCTTAGGGGGATCTAATGAGTGGATTTTCCTCAACGGTGCAGGTTGTTTCCCGGGGTCTCCTTTGCAAGGATAGACGGCCCAGTACATCACCACCAGACCAGGCATTACATTACAAGAGTATCTTCCCCTTCCCCGCCATGAAGAAGAAACCAAAAGAGAGCCTGGAACCCACCACCCTGGACGTGCAGGCGATCAGAGGCACAAGCCCCTTGAGCCTCGCAAAGTCCAAAGGCCATTCGGAAACTTGGCTACACAGCCTGTCTGCGCTATTAAAGTTGTGACCCCATAGACTCAGTGGTATATCGTTTTCGGGCTTGACGATAAGGACCCTCCTCTCCTGACTTTGACAAATAACCTACCCATCGAAGTGTTGGCTTCGCATGTTTTACAACAGGTACTGGTGCCCAGACTTTACGGAGTCCTTTCAGGTTGGCATCATGCTTCTGTCATCACGAACATTGGACTACATGTTGTTGGCAGAGTCCTGCTGTCAATTGGTGATTCACTCATGTAGGTGTCGCCGAAGTGTCATGAAGGAGCTGTAGCAGAAAGTTACCATGATTCCTGAAGTGACGTTGCGTATCGGCCGCTAGCAGACTGTAAATACCCTTTAATCGCTGCCTCGATCTTTGCAAGGGTTTTACGGGGCTTGAATGGTAGGATTCCAGGCATGCTTGCTTGAGCTGCGTAAGTTGCAGTTTCTGCGTACTTACCCCCCTAGGTAAGGAATGTACTCTTAACAAAGGGCTTTGTACCTGATGGTGTGGTATGTTTTGCTTCTGTTGGGGCCTGGCTTGCTCTAGACGGTAAACACAAACTACCCTCAGGGTCCAAGTACCTAATAGTTATATACTTTCCCAAAGCCTGTACTATAATCACTACATATTACCCAAATCCCCAGTACCTAAATATTGGGTACTTGGACCCTTAGGGTTGTAGATTCCCTACAACCTACACCCTAATCCCTAAACCCTAAACCTTAAACCCCCAAACTATGGGTTTAAGCTTGAGCTGCTTGCAGTCCCACGTGATGGTTCCAAGGGTAAGGGTGAAGGGTCGAAAGCCTGACACTTCTGTG